TCCAGTGAGGGAAACTCCAGTTAGCTGCTTACAAGAAAGCCACTTGTTTGCTTTCCAGTTGTAATTTGTTGTTCTTGAATGCAAACTGACCCACTCACAGCTGGTGGATCCCCAGAGAACTGAAGTGCCTTTATTCCTTCAGGCTGAAATGGTTCTCTCCAGCTCCCTGACACACCACTGTAGGTAACAGCAGCTCATCTGGATGTTACAGGCTGAGTGTGGCACAGAGCCTAATGCTTCAGGGCTGGGTGGAACATCTGGTAAAATAGTTTAAAGTATGGTTTTCTAATTGTTCAGATGATTTCAGCTGAAATATTGTTTGCTTTGTCTTGGTGGAAGAAGCTGTGCTCAGCCTGCAGTTAATCATGCAGCTGTTCCCTGCTTCTGATCTGTGGGGTTTCTGCATTCAGCCTTTGCTGCCTGCTCACTGCCTTGTCTCTGTGCCCAAGTGTTCCAAGAGCTGCGATTCAGGCATCCGGACACGCCAGGTCATCTGCGCTGATGGCGACTCCAAATTCTACAGTCCTGAGACATGCAAAGCCATCCAGCCACAGAAACCAGCCACCCTGGGTAGCTGCAACACACAGCCCTGCTACCTGCCACAGCGTGAGTGCTATTGCTGCACACCCAGCTTTTCCCAACATGCTTTTGCTTAGGAGTAGAAATTCGCAGCTCTGCATCAGCTTATGTTCTCAGCTTTTTACCTGCCTGTCTCCATCCTGTGAGTTTGCCAAGGTTATGTGCATAAAGCATCTTCAGAGTCCCAGTACCTGTGCTGTTTGAAATGTATGCAACAGGCTTGGGAACAGCACTGGTGTGTGTCCATTTTGAATCCAGTATGCTATGATGGCTCATCCAGTGTGTGTTGCAGACTGATCCCAGGACTCCCAGTCCAGAAGGATGGTAATTTGGGCAGGCTCAGTAGCTAAAAACTATAGCCAACTCTCATCCCTCTGTGGGCTGGCTCTAAAGGAGTCACAGCTCTTCAGAACATTTTGCTTCTTGTCTGTGTCTATTCTCCGTGTCAGAGCTGCAATGCTGACTTTTGTCTGCCTGCCTGTTGTAGGTCGCTTGTCCTGACAATCCAATCAAATCCAATTGCTGCTCAGCAGCTATTCCACAAGAGGAACGGGAACATTTTCATCAGCTTTTGTCTCCTGCTGACTGCTGGATGTATTTCCAATTTGTATTTTATTCCAGCACAGGGCTGGAGTAACTGCACCCATTTTGTACATGTGTCTCTTTGCAGAGGTCCCCAGCATGCAGGACACTATGGGATATGATGTCACTCGCCAGTCCTTGCTGACACGTTACAACCCAAACAGCCCTTCCCCAGGTTTGGAAGAATTTTTTAAATCTGGGGTTTGATGATGGGGTACTTGGAATAGGGTGTGGTAGGGAGAGGGATCATTCTTTTCTTCGTTTCTCTCATTTTTTTCATGGGCTCCTAGAAACTCCAGAAGCCAGGGACAAAATGTAGATTCTTTTACACTAGCAGTGAGCAGTATTTTACTCTATCCATGCAGAAGACTCTGTACAGCATATGGATCTCAGGTTCTGTCAGCATGACTTAAATGCTGGCTGGAAGAAATTATGCCCAAAGCAGATCATAGGAACAAGAAAGGATAATGTGAAGGGATCACAGCAATGTGACAGGTGGTTTCTCATGGGATAGTGGGAAGAATGGTCAAGGCAATGAGCAAAGTATCTCAGCCAGATCAGGAAGGGTGGGCCAGAAGATGTGATGCAAAAAATCCTGCCGGTAGCCTTGGGCAGGCGAAAGAGAGCAGAGAGGAGGAAAGCTGACCAGATTTTCATGTTCACCTGCATACTTTGAGTTCTCTCCCTAGATTCTGATGATGGAAGCATGCTCCTTGGGAACACCATGATCCATAGTACCTCAGGTAATCAGCACATTTCATCCACCGAAGACCACAGCATCAGTTTGTTTCCTGTTCGCTGGGAGCCCCAGTCCCGCTCGCCAGGTTCCCATCGGCTCAGCTTCTCTCAGGACCCCCCTGCAGGGGCTGGCTCCCAGGACTGCCACCAGAGCCCACATGGCTGCTGTCCAGATGGGCACACTCCGGCGTCAGGCCCTCTGGGGAGAGGTTGCCCTTTCAGCACCTGCCACCAAAACAGGTAGCTGGAAGTAGATAGGCCTGAGCAGGGAGGCATTGCCCTTCTTGGGGGCTTCCTAAATCCTGTAGCCCGTGCCTGTTGACTGGACAGGTCAGGTGTTACTGCAGCTCTTCTGCCTGTAGGTATGGCTGCTGCCCTGATGGAGTATCAGCTGCCCAGGGTCCAAACAACATTGGATGCCCACAGTATTACCGTGACATTCAAACAAGACAAAATCGTCCCACTGCAACCACTCCAGCAGTAAGTACAAGAGCTCTTTACATTTCAGGAGTTGATCAGATATGAAGACTCAGATTTGACCCTGCTGACTCACATTGTGGATTCTGTTGGGCTTCATCTCTGCCAGTACTGCTGAGGAACTAATACTCCAGGCATGGGATCGAGCCCTTTGGCCCACCTTGCTCCTGTTCAGTCTGGAGCATCCACCTGTAATCCTCTACAAGCAGGGTACAGAGCAGGTAGTGGGGAAGTGTCTGAGAAGTAGAAGGCCATCCTATGTAGAGCTGATTGAATAATCCAAATTTCTGTTGGTCAGAAAATTGCTACCCAGTTTCTAGGACAAAAAAATGGGAAAAACATGGCTTCTATGAATTGCTTTTGTTTGTCAGCTCTGCAGACTAATTCAAGGTGGGGAGGTGATCCCTCCTGTAGGTTGGGATGCTTGTTGGTGGCAGCAAAAGAACTGGCCTGCTGCTGGGCTGCTCACGTGTGCCTTGCAGAGAAGTGCAGCCCTGGCTGCATGGCTGACAGCCAAGTTTCCCACCCCTTCCCAGGACAAAAGCCTCTAGGAGGCAAACCAGCAAACAGTGGTGCCTCTAACAGCTGACAGCTTGCACACAACCCTTGCATGTGCTGCTGTCCTCATGTGTGAGGATAACTCTTGGCTTTCCATTCCTGTCTCCAAGGCAAGCCAAGCCTTGTCCCAGCAGCAGCCCTCGGGCGAGTGCCGCGGCTCCGTGTATGGCTGCTGCTTTGACAACGTCGCCGCGGCCGCAGGTCCTCGAGGGGAAGGATGTCTCAATAGGCCCAACTACCGTAAGTGATGCTTCGGCTTATTGGTTTAGAAACACAAAAAGAGTCCAGTAGCATATAGAAGTTTCCAGTGCAGAGGCCCTGCTCTCTGTAAAATGTAGTAAATAATCTCTGAAGAGAACTTCTACCTAGTGGTTGAGGCAGCAGAAACTTGGAGGGAGTGTAGAAAAGCAGCCTGAGGATTCTGCTCTGCTAGCTGCTGCAGAACTTCCTGTTGTCCTCTGCTGACAGTTGGACAGAAGTGTGTTTGTGTGATCTGTGTCAGCCTGTAGGACTACTCAGGAGTTGTTTGTCCCTGAGAAGACACTGTGATGCAACCTGGAGTGCTCCGAATGAGTCACCCAGGTTTAGGAGTAGAGATCTCCTGAGGAATCAGGACAGTGCTCGGCCTTCAGACAGCCTGTGGACAGGAGAGGAATGAGAACTACATGGGGAAGGAGGGGTTGCCCAGGGCCTCATGGATGCCCCCTGCCAGCAAAGTTCAATCCAGTGCCTGCTGTGCTATGAGGACACAAGGGCTGCTGGGCAAAAGCATCTCTGCTCCTTTAGTGCCCAGCTGTACCCTCTGTACCGTCTCCTTGCTGCTGCAAGGCACCTTGCCCTCCTGCTGCAGCACAGAGATTGCTTGGTGGCCATCCCTGTGGTGCAGCCTTGGGGAAGGGGAAAGCTCTCTGGATCCTCTCAGCTGAGCCACAGCTTGGCAAAACACCTTGCAGCCAGAGCCCTGCATCCAGTGTTTGTCAGCATGCAGCTGTGATACCCATGGCTCTGGGTTTGTAGACACCTTGGGCCATGCTCCTCTTTATATCAGTGTGCAGGGGTATTCCGTAATGCACAAATCTTCTTCACAGCTGAGTCGAAGTCACTTGCTTTGTGGGCTGAAAATGTGCAAATGGCAGCCATGTGTCCCTGCAAGAGAGGAAGCCCCAGAGCCTGCTTTGCAGTTGCATAATTCTCCAAGCAAGGCTATAAAGCATCCGTCTAGTATCTAGATTCAGAAATGGCTTTGAGGATGGTTCTTCCATCAGAGGCAAAACTGAGACAAAAAGAAACGTGTGAGCAGTTTCTCAGTTTCAAAGCACAGCTGGGTAGGACACCCAGGTGTCCTACTTTCCCACCTGCCCTCTGCCCACAGGGCCATCAGATAAATCATCTAGGTAGGTGGCTTGAAGCCCCTGGACCGTTGTGCTTTGTGACTCTCACCTCTCCCTCTGTTCCACTCTTTTTGGTAGCATACCCTGTCATGTGCCTGCTGCCCAGTGCCCACGGCCCCTGCACCAACTGGACCACTCGCTGGTACTTTGTGGGAGTTGTTGGCAAGTGCAACCGGTTTTGGTATGGCGGCTGTCATGGCAATAAAAACAGCTTTGCCTCGGAGGAGGAGTGCATGAGAGTGTGCCACAGCTCTGTGGGAGTCGGTCATCTGCAGCTCCAACCCTCTCCTGGCACAGGAGCCCTGCAACACCAGCAGACTAGCTCCAATTCTCATACAGGACGTGCCCAGGGTCAGCAGCAATCACCCACAAGAGAGGCTGCAAGTCACAGCCAAGAAGGAAGAACCTTTGGGGCTTCGCTCCCCACGCAGGACAGCTGGAGGAGAGACGTGCTGCCAGAGGCATTGCCAAGGACTGGTGTGCTGGGGAGCCAGCACTGGGACACCCAGCGAAGCAGACTGGACAGCCTGGGCCAGCTGCACTCTTGGGAAGCAGCCGTGCCGGGGCCCTCGGACAGGCAGAGCAGCAGTGGCCAGCAGGCGCTGACCCGGGAAGGCAAGCAGTGGCGTGAAGCTTTAGGAGCAGATGCCTCCGTGACAGAGGGATTTGGGCACCAGGAGTCTGCAGACTTATTCCCAGCACAGGCTCTGCACAGGTGATTATTTCCACCCACCCCTCCCCCCTGTTCTGCCAGCTCATTGTGAAGCATCAGTGCAGATTTCTCTGGAGTGAAAATGTTGCCCGAGCTGGGACCAGCTAACTGGGAATACCATGTGGTGGATTAGCTACACATGTGGCCCCTTGGTAAATCAAGTCACTGTTATTCAGGCCTTGGCATTACCTGCTGTCTCTTTCCTCACACACTCCCTGGTCTCTGACAGCACTGAATTATGATGTGTGAAAAGACTGCAGAATCCTGGGGTCTCTGTCTGGGAGGCCTTCTTACACTGTAAATGAGAATCCATAGATAGTTTTCTTGTTCTGACCAAAAAATTGAGCTAACTCTCTGACTTCACAGCCTTTATCTAGCACTGCATGGAGCAGCAGTGGGTTGTTTTAGGGAAGACTTTCAAGATGCAGACTTTGGGTGAAGATCCAGTGTTATCTTGAAAATCAGGTGTGTGTAGAGCTAGATCTAAACATGTCTGCACTGGATCTGTGTCTGCCTGCTGAGCTGAACTTTACTCCTTCAGAAGAGAGGGGTTAGAGGGCTTTCTTCCAGGACACATTGTAGCATTCAGTCTGTCCAAAGCATTCTTTGCTATATAGGAGAGGGCTCCCCATGTTGCCCAGTGCATCTGCTCAAAGCTGAGTGGGCAGCTGGTCCTGCTTTGCCTTGTGGTTGTAACTCATCCAGAGTCAGATGAGAGAACACAGAGGTGAGGAGGGCAGCAGAAGTGCCAATGGAATCACTTTCTCTTTCAGAACAACCCTGGAGGAAGCCAAGCCCTCTCTAGTGACAGCAGTTGTGGGACAAAACATCCAGCTGGTCTGCAAGACAGGCGTGTCCTCGCTCTCCAGAGTGGAGTGGATGAAGAACAGCCGACCCGTCTCCTCTGACAGGTGAGCTCAGCTCCCTTCATTGTAGAGCAGATGGGCTCCTTGCTGGGCAGAGTGCCAAATATGCAGTCCAAAAAGAACTGTCATGGTTTCACCCCAGCTGTCAACTCAGCCCCACTCACTGCTGCTCACTCAGAGCTGCTTACTCACCCCTGGTGTGATGGGAGAGAGAATCAGAAGGGCAAAACTGAAAAAATCCATGGAATGAGATAAAGACAGTTTAAAAGATAAAACAAAAGCCGTTGGTACAAGCAAAGCAAAACAAGGAATTCATTCATCACTTCCCACAGGCAGGCAGGTGTTCAGCTGTCTCCAGAAAAGCAGGGCCCTGTCCCACATAACAGTGACTTGGGAAGACAAACGCCATCACTCCCCCCCACTCCTCCTCCTTTCCCCAGCTTTACATGCTGAGCATGATGCCATATGGTATGGAATATCCCTGTGGTCTGTCAGGGTCAGCTGTCCCAGCTGTGTCCCCTCCCAGTTTCTTCTGCACCCGCAGCCCACTGGTGGGTGGGGCAAGAAGCAGAAAAGGCCTTGACTTGGTGTAAACACTTCTCAGCAGTAGTGAAAACATCAACACTGTTTTCAGCACAAATCCAAAACACAGCCACATACCAGCTACTGTGAAGAAAATTAACACTATACCAGCCACAACCAGCACACTTTTTTAAGAAATAAAGAACCCCCCTCATATTCATCTAAGAGCATGAACTGTCCACCTGCTCTGTGCACAGCAGAAACAGGTACACTCTGCACCAGTAATGAGGTGTTGGCTAAAGTTACGGGGCAGAGTAAGTGCTGTCCCATAACAGTGATAGAAGGCATTGGTGGAAGCTGACATGGGTAATGATGCAGAAATATATTGCTTCTCTTTGGTTCATCTTGGGGCAGCACTTAGCTAGTAGCTGAGGGTGAAACTTGCAGCCTAATAACCCAGAGTTCCTCTGGCTGGAAATCTCTGGCACAACTTTTTTTCAAACTACTTTTAAACCTGTTTTTCCTAGGAAGTGTTTCCAGCAAGAGCCTGGAGCCAGGCAGTCCCTTTGTGCTATGAAAATCACAGTAAAGAATAGCCCAGTTATGCTTTTCTGTTTGCAGCTGACTGCTGGGATTCAAGCTCCCCCCCTGGAAGGGCAGTTTGCCTCCGCATGGGAGAGGGTTACTGAAAGCAGTTCCCTGTTTTCCATCTCAGTTTTTCCTCTCTGTTCCTGACCTCCTTTCTGCTGCAGTTATTCCCCCTGCCTGCGACCCGCTGGGTCAGCAGGGTTTTGTTTATCCCTGAGCCGGGGAGGGCACTCCCTGGGGATGGTTTGGGAGGCATCGGCCGCTGTGCCCGGCGGGTTGCCGTGGGCGGGCCGGCAGAGCAGCGCTCCCCGCACGTGTTGCAGGCACACCTACCAGTCCGACAGCTCCCTGGTCATCAGCCACGTCCAGCCCCAGGACGCCGGCACCTACACCTGCCGCACCTCCGACGGCAGGACGGAGAGCCGACAGATCCAGCTGCAGGTCACAGGTGAATTGTCACCGGAGAGGTAACTCAGGGTTCCTCGTTAATGGTACTGACCAGGCTCAATATAGCCAGCTGCAGGAGCAAACTTCCTCTGCGGCCAAGAGGGATATAGAGGCAGCAGGGCCTTTTTTAGTGTTGCCTCATGATAAAGCCTTAGCCCTAAAATACTTCCTCCCCTGCAGTGCCACCCCATAAGTGGAGCTGTGTTTTGCCTGTAACCCACCCCATTTCTAGCACAGCAAGCATGTCTTCTTCCCTGAGAGCCATCAGCTGCCTCCTGATCCAAAACATAACTGCTGGTGCAATTATGTTTTGTGTTTTAGCCAAACGGGTCCTGCTGGGTAACAAATAATTCCCAGTTCTGAAAAATGTGCCTTATTTCAGAAACAAAACCAAAAAAAAAAAAAAAAAAAAAAAAAAAAAAAAAAAAAAAAAAAACTAGTCTCAAAAGATGGGCCAGAAAGGCACCCTGTAGCCTTCAATCTCTGAAGTGTGCTTTGTCACAGCAATGGCAATGGGGCAGAAGGCACTGTGGCCTAAGGGATGTTGCAACGTGTTCACTGACAGAGGAGAAGAAGGAGTCTAAAATTGCTTGCCTGCAGGTCTGTGACTCTCATTAGTAGACAGTGCAGGTTTGCTGCACTAGTCAGCCAAAAAGCAGATGGCTGAAGGGCTCTTTGGCTCCAGTTCAGCAATCTCTCCCAAGCTCACAGAAACCCTACGCAAGAGGTCACAGTAAGAAGTGTCCTTTTATTCACACATGGCATTTTGTTTTGAATAGAGTACCCGAGCACTGTTCTGGCAGAGGGTGAGAGAGGTCGGGTCCTTCACCAGGCGAATCCACAGCACCGAGGGTTATCCAGAGGCAGGCAGCTCATGCCGGCAGCCGGCTCCTCTGTGCGGCAGCAGCTCGCATACAGGTAGGTTCACCTGCAGCAACAGTTTGTCCACCGTGCCCAGCTGATGAACCATATGGCATCCCTTCATGTAGAAAAGGCAAAGATTGGAGAGGTCCTGGGTCAGCTGTTCCAGGGCACAGTTGGGAAGCAAGCAGTACTGAACTGCTGACAAGGGGAATGGGAGAAGATCCCAGTTGCAAGCTGTCTTCTGTCCTCCCTGAGGGTCTCTTGAAAGAAGCGTACTCTGAGCAAAGATGCACGGGGAAGCTGGCAGCAAAGGAGCTGCGTTCAAACAAAAGAAGTCTCGAGGCAGCATCCTTAGCTGTTCATGTTACTGCAGGCAGAAAGAGAAACCTGTTCTGAAAAAAAGCAAAGCAAGTAGGAGCTGCTTAACTAGCACAAAATAGACATATGTATATTGAAAAAACTTCAGTTCCTTCAGCCTCTACTAATTAATTTTAAATATTTTGTGAACAAACCAGTTTGACCCAAAACTGTCTCCTCATGTACTGGCATGTTTTGTAGTTTCTTGTGTGGTTTTTTTATTGCTCCTAGGCCCCACAGAAATAAAGGGGGACAAATTATTTTTGCCTTAAATGCAGCATGTTGGGATTCCAGATTAAATAGGGCCATGGTATGATCTCTCTCTTTTTTTTTTAGTTTACAATCTAAAACCCAGCCAATTTGCTGAATTCTGCAGCAATCTCCTTAGCTGCTTCTGCCCTAAAACAGTAATAAGTGATTCATTGAATTAAAGCTCTTTGGTTTTATTTTTTGAGATCAAGAATTCAGGTCATAGAATGGGGGTAGGGTAGATGACGTTTTATTTAACTGTGGGAACATCATGGCTTAGCTCCCTTCTATGACAGTGTTTAGCTGTAGTTATAAGAGCAAAGAGCATGAGGAGATGAGTGTTGTGAGGACATGACCTCAGCCTTTCTGCTGCATGAAGTGGACAACCAGCTCCTGGACCTCGTGTGCAGTCAGGTGATTGCAAAAGGCTCTTCACACCCTAAAAAGGCTCATTTTTGTGTGCCAGATAAGCACCTTGCTCAGTGCCCTGTTTAGGACTTTTACTGTTTGCCATGTGTTCACATTGTTAATGCTTCCTCAGCTGTTATCCAGAGGGTTGCTGTAAGAACCAGGATTGCTGTCTGTAAGTTAAGCTGGCTGACAGTAGTGCAGCACCAAGCTGTGCTGAACTGGAGCAGGATTTTATAGAGGCTGCTCTTTTCTGAATGTTGGGCATGAATGTTGGTGATGGCAAGCATCAGAGCTCTCATGGGAGTACAGAGACCTCCCTTTGCCATTGGAGGCAAAAAACAAGGCCTGTGATTGATAAAGCCTCGTGCTGAAGGTCAAATGCTGAGCAAGGAAGTTTTACATCTTTTGCTGTGCTTGTGGACTTTGCAGGTTGAAAATGGATAAGAGTGAGCCCACAGTAGTGGAGGCCAACGTTGGGGAGAGAGTCAGACTGCCCTGCACAGTGGAAGCATCGCCAGCTCTCACCATTGAGTGGCAGAAAGATGGGCAGCCCCTCTCCTCTCCCAGGTGAGCTCCCAGGCAGCTCCAACCATTCATGAGAAGAGCCTTTTCCTTCCCTGTCTCCTGTCTGAGAGAACAGAGCTGTTGGCCATGTGGTGAGGGCCTGTCTGGCTCTATGCTGTCCAGCTTCCTCCATCAGGGCCATGCTGTACTGCTGGCCTGCCCTGTCCTCCCTCCCTCACAGATGGAAGTTTGAATGTTGAACCCTTGAGGGAACAGCTGTGACACAGGGGCTACAAGTGAGCCAGGGCTCAAATTTATTCAGCTACAAGGTTAGCAGAAAAAAACCACATGGCTAGCAAATTTGCCAAAATCCAGCCTGGTCAGTGAGCAAGGGCAGAGGTTCACAGCAGAGAGAGATCAGGCCATCTGCAGTGAACTTCCACAGCTACTGGTGCTGCTATCTCCTCTCTCTGCTCCCAGAAATTTGCTCTAGCAGCAAGTTTTTCCAGAGTCTTACAGCATCAGTGCTGGGATTTGAGGACTAAGGGCTGCATTACAAGCCCTGCAGCATTTGAGCTGCTAAACATTCACTCAGTGGTGCAAAACTGTGCACGAGGCTTAGCTTCCTCTCTGCTGGCTGGAGTCCCGTGCTGACCAGGCTGAGGGGCATTGTGGCTCTGTTTCCCAGGCACAGGCAGCAGTCGGACGGGGCCCTGGTGATCAGCAGGGTGAGCTCTGAAGACATTGGCTTCTTCACCTGCATTGCCTCCAACGGGCGTGACCGCGACCAGCGCCACGTGCTGCTCCGACCGCAAGGTACGGGGTGGCTGGAAGCACAAACGGCTCGGGTGCACAGCAGTGGGAAGCAGGGAAGGCTGGGCAGGGCCTGTGGGGGCTCCTGTGCTGGCCGTGCCTCTTTGCTTCACATCTAGAGTTTAACAGGCACCTCGAGGGCAAGGGAAGAATGAGTTGTTTTACCCAGTGGTCATCTGAATGTGTCCAGTATGTCATAGTGCTCCAGGCAGCTGGGAAAAGGGGTTGATAGCACAGTAGGAGTGACTCTCAGGGGCTTGTTTCTGGGACTCTGGTGTGGAATGAGAATAAGAGCAAGACAACCTAAGGAGATGGTTCTTCTGTGCATGTGACATACATGTGTCCATCTGGAAGTAAAAGCTCTTTGAGACCTCTGTTACTTGTCATTTCTTGGGCCAAAGTTCTAGGAAATCCACATTCCCCATAGCAGCAATGGCACAGCCTCAAACATGCTGTTTCAAGGCTCAGGGGCTTGTAGCTCATCATGGGATGTGCTGGACTTTTCCCATGAGGGAATGCTCCTACTCCCAGTGGGAGCATGGCATTGTCTCCCTGCTAGTGATGATTTTCCTTCTGGTCTAGGAGAGCTGAGGATCACTGGTCTTCTGCCAAGCATCACAGTACCCGAGGGAGGGACTGCTCAGCTTCATTGTACAGTGACTGGCAACAATGTGAATATAAGGTGGTCAAGGTGAGCAAAAATGAGATGGAACTTCTCTTCTCAAACCTCATCATTTACCTTCCAAATGCTAATGCAGGGTGCCTGCCAGGTATGGCAGAGACCACAGTTATCAGCCCCACCTAATATCACCTACCCTTTCTTAAAACAACTTGGATGTTACCAAAAAATCCTGGTCAAGATCCCTGTGGGGTGTGGAGGTCATCAAGTTCATGTTCCAGCCAAATAAGGAGGAAATCAGATATTAAACTAAGATTTCATTGAGTTTAGAAGGGCTCTGTGTTAGAAAAATAGTGACATGAAAATAACAAGAACTAAAATGAGTAATCAGAGGAAAATCTTTGGTTGCTTTTTAAAAAAAACCTTCTCTGCCTAATCATGACAGACATTTTAGGCCCTCTTCTCCCAGCTTCCTGTTGCAACAGTTGTCTTCATTTGCTGTAAAGTGGGAGCAAAGGAGATTTAGAACCGTTCTAAAGTGAAAAACTGTGTCCTCTTATCTTGATAGTTTACCAGGAAACTCTGAATTTGTGCAAGTGTTTAGTGTAGGTTGTTTTTCCTGTTTGAAAATAATCAGTTCTGTTTTGGAGCCTTCTTACAAACTATCCAGAGAGATGACTAGTAAGTGTTGAAATACCAAAGGTGAGGACTGACGTGGGCCATCTCACACACAGAGCTTTTCTTCCATACATAAGTTTGGTATTTGAGTTAACAAAATGATGCATGTTTCAGAGTTGGAATGAAACCCTTTTCAGTGAAACGAATTTCATTTTGTTGGTAACTAGGAGTTCATAATTCAGGCAGTTTTCCTGCTGGGCACGGATTATTCCAGGAGGAACAGAACAGACACAATCTTGCTGGTTTTTTTAAACAAACTTTTAAAGGGAGAGGAAAGAGGGCTCATTGTTCACTACCCCATATGCTCATCAAGCAATATGTGCTGCTATCAATGCCAGCCAAACGAGTACTGCCAGACCACAACCTGGAGAGAGGGAAAGGCACATTGGGTTTTCTCTAAGCTCCTCAAACCTCAAGAATGTGTGCTAGCAGGAAGGGCAATGTCTTTGCACAGAGCACAGACACAGCTACCTCCCACGCAGGCACTGGGCAACGGATGCAGGCTCAGGCTCATGTTACCACCCAACTGTAGGGCCAGGTTGTGCAAAAGATTTCTTCCTTCCTGCTGAACTTGTGAAAATTCCTTCCGTTCACAGAACATCATTTTCCAAAGAACACGGGGAGCTCCTGTAGCACCCATGGACGGCAATAGTGAAATATTTTGTTTTTCACCACAGGAACGGAGTTCCCATGCGGGGGGATGGCCACCACATCCACCTGTCCCAGGATGGAAGCCTGACTATAAGCAACGTGCAAGAGGCTGACGAGGGATCCTACACGTGCAGTGCCTACAGCAGCAGCAGCTCTGTCAGTGCCAGCTCAGAGGTGAAGGTGCTGAGGAGCCAGCCTAGCAGTGAGTACAGCCCAGCCTTCCTGCTTCTCCCAGCACAGTGCCCGGCCCCTGGCCGCAATCACACCCATTGTGTGCCCAGTCCAGCACCAGCCTCGGGTTCTGGGGAGCAGCAGAAGCCTCTGGGTCATGCTGCCTCAGGAGCCCAGCTTTCCATGGACAGAAAAGCAAGACGCAGGAAACGCCCCCAATTAGGGCACTGGCAGCCTAATTAACTTCTTGAGGCCAAAAAGCCACAGTTAGTTGGTTGCATGATTTGTAGTTGGACTTCGGACACCATCCAGCTATCTTTACATAGAGAGTAGGTAGAGTAGTCTCTCCTCTCCCTGCAAACTGCATTTCCATCTTCCTGTATCTCACCAGAGGTGTCTGTTTCATCTTGAAATTCATAATCTCCTTGATGTTGGACTAAATTTAGAAGTGGTGGGGTGGAGGAAGCAGGAAGGTGCTGTGTCTTTTGTGAAGGAATAGCAATCAGAGGATAAATTTACAGCTGGTTCACCCTTTGCTTGGCTGCAGCTACTGTGAGTCACGTTGTGGACCTGAGCAGAGACTGCGTGGACCAGCCCCACCTTGCCAACTGTGACCTGATCCTGCAGGCCCAGCTGTGTGGTAACGAGTACTATTCCAGCTTCTGCTGTGCCAGCTGCGCTCGCCACCGCCCCCAGGGCAGCCCCGCGCACCCCCGCGGGTGACAGCCACCGCCACCGTGACCGATGACAAGACTGGAGGTCTCCACTCTGCTCTTTCACTGCATGGCACAGTTCTAGGAAGTCTGCCCTGCTGGAAAGCTCAAGAGGGTGAATTGAACAGCGTGTAGTGGGTGTAAATGCTCAAAGGTGGGAGACCCACCACCCTCAGGTTTATTGTAAACTCCTTTCCCCTGCATGCCTTGCTGTACCTAATCCATCTCTTAAGGGTAGTTGCTGTCATTCACAGAAAACAGATGGATTGTAGGGATGTAAGGATGATGTGACTAGAGAAGGCAGATGACCAGCATCAAAGAGAGAGAGACTAATTCTTCATACAAGCAAGAGAAGTGCTCTTAAACACATATCTCTGAAGTGTTTGAAGATGGGCCTGAACCATTCCAACCGAAGCACTAATGAGCCATGAACATTTGTTCCTCCAATGAGCATTGCTGAACAAGTGCTCCTGGGGAGCACTTTCCATCTAAATGCAAAGGACTCTGGCCATGAGAAACAGCTTGATGCATATAAAATTAGTGTTCAGGTCCAAGGAGATTACTGGCTCTTTGGATGAAGCTGTAATGTCATGTTACTGTAGCTGTTTTATTCCAGCAGACCTTAAGACAAATTTCTAGTAGGGTCAGTTTCGTCTCTACTTGGCTGCAATCAGCTTTGGATTGAAGTGCTGTAGAAACAATGCTTCACAGAAAGCTTAAGACAAAAGAGAAAGCTACTTTTAGCCCTCCCTGAAAGCTAGAGGTAGTTCAGATGAACATACCAACACTGTTACCTGTTCTGAGATGCTGCAGTTTAAATAGCACTCATTCTAGGAAGGCTCAGCAAGTAATCTTTTTCCCCGGAGCTGGAACTGTGCTGTTCTGACGTTGTGCTGCGTTTGGGCAGGGGCTAATAATAAACAAGTAGAAATACAAGTGTGGGGCATTTCAGTTGCCAGAATAAACCTCCCGAGAATCTGCTCTAGTCTCAGTTGAATCCAGGAAAGCCTAGCTCTGCATCTCAGGGCTGATGCCTGCTGCTACGGACTAACAAGTTAGGACTTCCAGATGCAGAGCAGCTGTAGCTGAAAAGCATCCTTCATTTCAAGACCAACACGGAGTGGGGCAGCAAGAGTGCATCTGGGGCTCTGAAAATCTCACACATTAGGGGTGGGGAGGTGAGATTGTATTATGATTGTATCGTGTTAAACCAGGAAAGGCCCTTGGGTATCTTCAGTATCTCAAAATGGAATTATTTTTGAGCAAAAGGATTCTTTTACAGCCTCCACACTACTGTTCTACCCTAGCATCAGCCCTGACTGTCCCCTTCTTCCTTATTCTAGACTTGGATGGGTTGATCACAATTATTAGCAACATTAACCATGTATTATTTGCATAGATGTAGCTATAAACTGGTGTGTAGATGTTGATATTTTGTTGGGGGGAGGGAGGATTCGCTTATTTTACTTTTGTCTTCTACTTGTGTTACTTTAAGGCTTTTAAGAAATGAAGCTAATTTAGGACTGTGCTCACACCACTCACCTCTCCTTCAGTCCTGCAGCAGCAAAACATAGGAGTAAATTGCCAGGGTTGACAGCCTAGAGCTGGTTTGTACTCTACACCCAGTAAATCAGTTCACATGGACCTAAAAATAAGAATCACTGACCTTATGACTGCACTCTCATCAGCACAGGTATGGTTCAGGACTGGAGACACTGCTCTAGGATGTGAACAAATGGTGAAGTCTACAAGCAATCCAGTACAGGAGAGACAGGTGACAGTCACAGCTATTTGGGGCTGGGTCCTTCTGATATATTATGTTTGCTATGAAAGACAAAAATACATACTTTGCATTTAACACCCTTTAATTTAATTAGGGAAAATTTCCTCTGCTGGAATGCAGGGCAGGCATTACAGTATAAGGTTTGAAGTGGAAATCACTGGATATTTAAGAACAATTAGATGGTCCTGAAAACATCCACTTGTGTTTGTATATATTTTTCCATTTAATATCTCAGACCAGCACCTTTTTCTCTCTGCGTGTGTGTGTGTGTATAGGAAATTTTACTATTTTAATATACGATACGATTTTTGCCTTTTGAGACCAGGGACTAATCAGAGACTCTGTAAATTTCAGTCATTTTGAAGCCCTCTCCATTCAATGTGTTGAGTCAGGGTCTGCTCAGGAGCATGGTTAGAAGTGGATTGTGGAAGCATTAGACCCTTTTGTCCCAGAGTAAGTAGCCAGTTCTATAAAATCCCTTTCTAAGATGTCAGAGGTTCTGTTTTTGGAATATTTAAATATTCTGTGTAGTCAGCTGCCATTTAAACTAAATATATTTATAGTATATATAAATATAAGATGGGGCCAGAAGTGTTTTCTCCAGACTCCTGAGGGCTGTAACAGCCCCCTGCCGGCTGATGGACAGGACTGGAAGTGCTTTGGCTAGTGGAGAGTTTATGCTGACCTCTTTTCAGCTGCACAACCAAGGCTGTAAGGGTGGGACTGACAGGCATGCCATCAAGTTAACGAAAGGATCTTTGCATTTCTTCTGACAAGATCAGCTTCTCCCTCTCTGTGGTACCACTTAATCACCTACTCATGGTTTACTTCTTAATTTGGGAATCAAGATGTTCGTTTTCTTCCCTAAACAATGGGTTGTAGGAAGTGCTTATCTCCAGGGCAGGAGAAGGGTGTAGCTGGCCTATTTTTGGCTTCATCTTGGGGCCCTTACTGTGAAAGATACATAACTGCTTTGTTTCCTACTATAAATATCTGTAAATACTTGTTTGCTTTTTGAAAACTGAAAAAAGCATTGACACCAACTCGAATCCCACTTTTCATACTATTCATCCCGTACTGAACACAGGTAAGAATCTGTAACATCAGAAGTTGTAGTTTTCTAGACTGTCACTGTAAGACTCACTGTACTTGCCTGGAAATGGAAACTGCTGGCAAGCTCAAATCCAGGGCCAACAAAGGGAGCATTTCCTCCCTTCAGGTTATGGAGACTGACTTCTTTCCTTGTGTCTAAACTGACGTGGTGCCCTAAGAATGCAGTAAGAACCAGTCACACTAACAGGGTAAATATTAGCTCACTGGAAGAACAGAAGAGAGGTGAAAATACATCATCATCTCATCATATGGCTCTTTTTTTATTAGTAGGGGAAAGAAAGAGTTTTCCTATTTGCCATTACTGAATGGTACTGTCCTCATCTTTGTCTCTTTGTAAATATTCAGTGATAGAAAATCCAGCCCTTAAAACCCAGAATCTGATGTTTTCAGTAAAGGCCTCTATTTTAGAGCTTTAAGTGTTTATGTGTCACAAGGATATTTTGAAATTCAGTTTTAAAGTTCTATGCACGCTAACAGGTTGTAGAAAATGAGAGGTATTAAGATATTATTCTTAAGCTGCTAGGTTGGCAAGCAGTGCTCATCCACATTCATCTTACAAGACAGAAGATACCCAGAAGGGCAAATGCTGAAAACTGAAGTAGGGTGGAAATAAATCTCTTACAGACAGTGCTTCTACCACCAACATTTATTTCTGTTAAAGCAGATTATAAATCATCAGTACAAATATATATAACTTACATTTGCTTGTAAGGCCAAAGTTTAAAAGTAAAGTTAAAATGAGATGGTTTTCACAAGTCACCAGAGGCAGAACCTGGACCAGCTGCAGCCTTAACCACAAGGTTTCACAAATCAGTGGGAAAAAATAAAACCAAAGTTAAGAATCTCTAAGAACTATTGACAGACAAACATAAAATGGTTTCCCAGGCAGCCCCAGGATGTAGATATGATGACAGTAAATTGTCACAGTAGTGTTAGAACCAATAGATTAAGACAAAGAAACTGCAGCAATATATGAAAGGAAAAAAATCCATACTATATAGAATATGTAGACTGATTCCAATAAAAAACAGTAAATGCTCCCCATGGTTTTCAAACCATGACAATACTGTTCTTTAATTTTCTTTATTTAAAACTACGATATAATGACTTATTGGTTGTGATTGTTGTTGCAATATGCTACTTACAATGAACAGATACAAGAACAAGCTAGAGCCCCTTTTTCCACCCCCCCAATATTACTTACTATAAGAATCAGCGATAAATCAATCTTATGTACAATTTCTTACATCCAACCCCCTTGTTTTTTAACCTTTGGCAAGATTACTTACAACTCATACAGCTTTTAATATCCAACTATTTAAAATATTCTAAATGCATAAAAATAAAGATTTTGGCTTTACTTTATTCTTTACATATAATATTCACTTTGTTACTCAAAATGGAAGCTCAACTTTTTCCACAAACCTAGCTTTTGGCTAAGGTGACAACATCCCACCCATATCCACCCCCCACCCTACCCAATTTTTCCCTGAGGGGGAACATCCAGGGCTTGCAGGGCATCAGGAGGACACAGGTACAAACATCTGCCTTCCTTTCTGTGAGATGATCGATGTTTCTGCAGAACAGGCTTTGGGACTGAGTGCTGTTCTTTGCTCCATTTGACTTCCAGCTTTCCAAGAGAAGAGGGGATGCAGACTGGGGTGGCTCCAGGATTCCTTTTAAGAACTGCACATTAAATTCTCTGTGTGTTTCCATCCTTCCCACAACTGCTCCCTCTTTCTAACCCATTTTAGTTTGAAGGGACCTTTGGGATTATCAAAGCAAACTGATCAGAAACAGTCCCTCTGCTCCCTTTATCCCTCGATCCTAATGTACAATTACCCGCCCCCCACAGGACCGCTTAAAGTTCGATCTCGAATGTCTTCTGTAGGTCGCTGGAGAAGGGGTTGGTGGGGGAGGGGTTGGTGCGCTGCTTTGCCTTGCCCTCCAGAGCTGCCCACTGCGCCTCGAAGGGGTCGACCTGCGGGGCGGGCGGCTGCGAATGCTTGTCCTCGGCAGCCCATTTGCCCCCCTCCACGCCGTTGAAGGCGGCGGAGCCGTTGTGCTGCGCGGGCGGGTGGAAGAAGGGGCTGGCAGTGGCGCTGCTGCTGCTGCCGTCGTACTGAGGGACCGGCTGCTGCTTCACCAGGCTGGGGGACTGATGCGGGTGGGCCGCTGGAGTGTGGCTGGCAGTACCAAAGACGTTGGCCACCATCTGGGAAGGTGTGATCCCAACCACAGGGACGCTTGGGGCTGCATAGGTCATCCCATTTGCTACAGCATAGGGCTGAGCTGGAATAAACGCTGGCTGCATGGGCGGTACCACGCCCACCGGCACAGGCTGAGGCGCAATGAAGGTGCTGACTGGGAAGGCTGGTGCTGACTGGGGGGCTGGAGCTGCTGGAGGAGGCTGGAGCAGTGGCTGTGGGGCTGGGGCTGAGCTTGGCTGCTGTTGGGCTCTGACAGTCTTTGAGACCTCTTCCAACCAGCGGTCTGCCTCTGAGGGAGTACGTCTGTGATTTCCTTGGAAGAGACTCGGTGAGGCTGCACCTGAGGAGGTGCTGCTCCATTCAGTGCCTGGGAAGGAAAGCATGGGCAAGTCACTAACATGTCCACTCCTCATCCTTTTATTGGTTAGAAAGACTGGAGGGTATATAGAGAAACACACAAGCCTCCTCCTGCCGTGACTGAAAGATGCTCCCACCATTGGAAGTATCTTTATGCATCCACTGTTCTGTTCTAGGAAGACATTCGTCAATATGAGGTAGGTAAGAGCTCCTTCACTAAAGTCCAAATTTATGGGTTTTTTTCTTCATAGCAGACATCTAAGACTTTAGGGTACGCAGGAAAGCTGCTGCCTGCACTCAAAACTTGGTGGCAATGATCTAGTCCATAATCATCAATCCCCCTAACTGTGGAGTATCAGTTTCTGAACAGCACAGCTCAGGACTGGTGGACTTGGAACACAAAGGTTTTTAAAGACGAAGTCTGGTACTCTTACAAGGCCAAGCAGAACCTACTATTTCACTAGCACAGCTTCTCTCATGGAGTGGCACTTACACCATGAAATGAAGTAACTGAGATTGCAGCCTTCTAGCACATGTGCCCGCATGGGTGACAGTCATTTCACCTTACACAATGCAGACAAGGCCTGGAGGGACAGACTAAACTTACTGAACAGAAGAAATGAACCTCTAAAGCCTTTAAGCAACCAACTTAATCCCTCCTTATGTACATTAGGGAAAAGAACACACAAAAATTATTTTGGGTAGACACAGATTCTTTTCCTTTGATGCACACAAACTCACATACAACTTCATTACTTCCTTTTTAAGCACTGATTTTATAAAATGCTGCCAAAATAAGAATCAGTCCAGGTTACAGACCTAGAACCAGCAAGTTCATCGCTTCCCTCCATCCACTCGAGCAGAACGCTACTACTTCCGGCTTTTGTTCCTGTTCCTTCCACTTGCCATTAAGTGGCACTGACAATTGTCTCAGGGGCTCAATTATGCTTTTGATCCAAGTTCTTATAGCAATGCACCGGATCTACTTCCAGTCTTACCAGCGACCACGGCTGCAGCTCCAGTATTAGCAGCAGGAGCATGAGCCCAAGGATTGGTTTCACGAACTGGCATAGCTGTGGACACTACAGCAGCTTGGGATGGTTTAGCAGCAAGCACACAGAAGGCAGAGGCAGTGCCATTAACTAAAATGGGAGCAGACAACATCAGTGCAATTAATTCATGCAAGGCATGCACGTGACTGGAGTATTAGTGGGCCAGGTCACACCTATCAACATACAACACTTTTAGACACTTCCACATGACAGGAGTTTGTGTAATTAGCCAAACTGAACTGACAGTCAATAAAGGTAGTAAATTTCATTTCACCAAGCCAACGCTTGTTAAGAGAATCATGGGATGGTGGATTTTGATGTCCTTTAGGAGGCCTTGAGTTCTGATGACTGACTGAAGTTAAATTTTTTGTTTCTATAAGGAAGAGATATGGCTCACCAGTAGTTATTGTACAGTTAATTTTAGATTCAAAAGAAGAACACTCTGCAGATACACAGTAACAATAACTACATTTAACACGGAGAGGTTCTTTTTTCACACAACTTCTATAAAAGCACAGCAGTGAAATGAATACTAATGGCTGCTATGAGTTCTCTAGCTGTCATNTTTCCACACCTTGTCTAAGAATTTGTGTAAAAAACAGTAATCATGGTGGCACAAAATCCCTTCCCTTATGAGATTTGGTTCCTATGACACACTCCTAAGCAGTTCAGGAGGCAGAATGATAAAATAGCCATTACCTCAAAGCCCGTCCCTTTTACGGGTAACTATCGTGTGGTAGGTGTACGAACTTATTGTTAAAAACAAAACCACAGAAAAATTAAACAGACAAGATGAATAAAGCAGGATGCATTCACCCAAAATACTGGTAACAGGACTTGCACAAGAAATTAAGACCATGTGTTACTGGAAAGCAACATTATGTGCATTCAAGCCTCATCCAGCACCCAAAGAAATCACAAACCTTGAAAGGCAGGAGACTGTGGTGCAACTACTGTCACTGGTTTTGTCATGGGGGCCGAAGAGAAAGGATCTTCTGATGGTGTGCTGAAAGCACTGGTGATCTGAGAGCACAGGGCACTAATGCTGTCTGTTTCCCCTTCTACCTCTGGGACTAAAATGTAAACAGAATTCATTAAATTGAAAGTTTAAAGGATACAGAAACAATTTACAACTACCAATGTGAAATTGAAATATAATTAGTTCCCTTATGTCCTACATGTTCTTGCTACTGATTTGCATGACAGCTTTTTTTTTTTTTTTTACATTAGTGTTGAAGATCTGGCCTGAAATAGAACACCACATTAATGTATTTTGTGATTAAGTCAAGAGGGCAAGGAGATCGCTGTTCCAGATTTAAAGAATGCTCGTATCAGAAAATAAAAACGGTTTTCTACAGTTTAAGAAGAGATCCAAATCTTTCAGTATTGAAGTGCTAAACTTCTCAAGGGTTTGGCTCTAAGATTTGGCATTCTGTGAAATGAAAATACTTATGATAGATTTAAGTGTTCCAACAACATACTCGAACAGTAACCAGATGAACTTTAAATGTACTGACAGCAATGCACAGCGGCAAGTTCAGTCTAGAGTTAGTGTTGATTGCTCCAGTTCAGTGGTAGCTGAAATCCCCAGTTCCTGTGCTAGAATCATAAAAGCAAAAGCTGAATGCTCAGATAAAATGGATGCTCAGTTTTAAACGAAGCATCAGTATCATATGGATAATGTAACATCTGGAGTAAAGCTGCCAGCTTACTGGATGTTCTCATTATTACTAATGGCAGTGTTTTCCAAAAGTACCGATCATCAGTCCGTCATTGCACAGAACTGACATGAACAGGCATAATCAAGCACAAAATCGTGTAAGAAACATAAAATGTCTGCACACAACATGCACCAGATCTAAAATTCAGGGGAAAGCATGCCCAAAAATTGACTCTTTGAGGGATATTCCAATGCAGTGCATGCAGTGGGACGGTAAGCAGCACTGGCAGTGGCATATATGGGAACATGCATCAGAAATGTTCTGAACCATGAAAAATTGAGATTGTGGTGTGCTCAGTGACTATCACTACTGAGCAGTGCACTGTTACTGCAAAACTGCTGGTCGTAAAGCACAGGTCACTAAAAAGGATTATGAAAGAAGTCAGACTAAGTATTTTTGTTGGGTTTGCCTTTGCCACAGTAATTTTTACTTCAAAGCTTAAAACCATAAAACCAGCACTGTTGCTTGCACAACAGTGAGAGTACAGCTGGCCTGAAGGATTACACCTAGCTAAAGGAACTCAAGGACATTATGCAAGGTAATGAGCACCCCAGGAGTTTATGTTGGGATGGCTCTTAGAAAACCCCACTAGCATCATGTGAAAACTGTACTACATAATACTGATACAGCCAGCTGTACCACCTAAACAGGAAGGTTCTCTTAATGCAACATGAAAAGCAATTTCATTGCTCCCAAAAAGAATTCAGACAGGCAGAAGGACAGACTGCAGAAGAGCATCACATGATCCTAAGACAAGTGGTTAAGGCCTTGAAGGGATTTGTGTCTCAGGATGCCCTGACATTAAGTGGAAGAACTGGTTCAGTGACTCAGAGGGAAGAGCCAAAACCTACTAATTCACCAACACCCATTCCTGGAACACTTCAAGCTGTGCTCCAGTACTTCAGACAGCAATTAGAACTGTCTTCGGCATGAGAACCCCACATTTGAAATTCTTGCCTATTCCCAAAGCAGAAATTTTCTGACATGGTGATGTTTGTTCATGATAAATGATCAAACATGAGGCAGGAAGGAGGATTTACTAGAAAGTAAGGAGTTACTTGAAGCCACAGAGAAAGAAAGGAGGAAGAGACAATTTAAGGCAATGTTTCACTGGAACCATTTGGTTTTACCTGAGTTTTTCATGGGGAAATCAGTCTTCCTTTGCACTGTTGAAGGCAGCTCATTTATTCGCAAAGACAACTGGCGTTTAAAAGGAGACATCTTTTGGCTGAGGGCGGGGAAGCCCCTGAAAGACCCTTGCCTGGCAAGCTGCTCTATAGGGGCGTGCCGCCGGGGGATAGCGTGGGGGTTGCTCATTTCTTTATCCAGAGAGGCAGCAACTTCAGCAGTAGGAGAGGTTGGTGAGCCAGAAGAGGGGGCAGTATTGTTTGGTGCAGCACCTGGTGCTACTGTTTTCACTTCTGTTTCAACTGCTGGAGGAAACAGGGTGAGGTTAGAGAGTAAAGCAAAGTACCATTCAGCCTACCTGTACTCCCATTTGTTTTGAAAAAAGAAATTGCAGGAATTTGCAAACTATTATTCTTGCAAATGAGTTCTAATAGCACAGCAGAAACACAATTTCTGTATACCTTCATTGTCTTCACCAAGTCACCTGACATACCCAAGCCCCACAGCTTTCTAAGGCAAGCCACTTCCTTAAGAGGATGGCCTTACATATGTATTCTTTCAATCCATTCCTGAGATCACAGCTCTAGAAATACTTGAAATTCATTTACGGTTAAGACTGAAAAATGTATTGTGTATTTGAGATCTTTACTTTGCCTCACACAGAACCAAAGACAAAATATTACTACCAACTGTATTAAGTGACTTAGGGCAGCACACTTAGCAGCAGCAGGGAACAAATTGCAGCTCCAGGACCCTCTTTTAAAAGCCAGCCCTGCAGAATCAGCAGCTGCAGCCAAACACACTGCACAAGCTTTAGCAGGCCAAAGGTAGCAGCACTTAACAGGTTGGGCTGCAGCTCCCAGCTCCTCCAGGAAATATATTACAGGTAGAGGGAAATGTGCTGCAAGGCAGATCCAGCCTCTGAGCTGACAGGCCTTGCTAACACCAGATATATCTGCAAGGTGTTCCTGTGTCACTTCTGTACTGAATTTAGCTGCAGTGTTACTACCCAATCATGAGTTAGTTGCAGTGGAAACTCCTCCAACTCAAAGTCGGCTGCTTCATTTTGCAGGGCTTTGCATAGCACCACAATGGCCCTGTTAGACAGGCCTAATGGCAGAAATGTAGGATTAAGATTTGTTTAAATCCTGACACTTATGATTAGAATTGCAATGGGGAGATTTTTCTACCTTTAGGAAAATTCTTGCTCGCTCATAAATGAATTGCCTTTGGGGGTAACAAACACAGCTCATCAACACAGAAGGACAAAAGTGAATCTCACTATCCTGGCAAAACTCTCATTTTACGTATACTGTTTTCCAAGTATTTTAGAAAAAGCAATGAGTTTGGTTTTTTTGGACACATCAGCAGAATAACTAAAAGTCTGGTAAAGAGAGGAGTCAGACTAGAGTTCTGAGACGCTGGAATGGTAGGAGGAACTAATTACGTTGTCTTGCAAGCTTCAGTACCCATGAGTTGCAGCTGCTCATTCAAGTGAAACTTTTCTAATCAGTCTTTCTTGGAAAGGATTTCACACACCTTCATTGAGTCAAGACTTTGACTCATGCCCTCAAGTAACAAAGGCCTTGTGTTTAAGCTTCATTTAGCACACTCTAAAACTAACGTATGGAAACAAGCAGATGGATGATGAAAACGAAGATTAAAGTTTTGCAATCAAGGGGCAGCATAAAACTTGCTGTGGAATCCTCTGAAACAAAAATCTGACTTCACTATGAAGCAAGTTATAAACAGTATATACAATAATTTTTTTGTTAGCTGTAGAACTCCAGGCTTCGTAATAAAACTCGAGTAAGAAGTTCTGCTTTCACTTAATTTCAGAACATGTTATCTCCTCTCAAATCAGTTAGTCACTAATTTTGAATGTAATTAATATTCAGTCAAGCACCTGTGTGCTTTATGGGGAAGGAGTGGTTATTCTGGATATTTTTTTGGAAAGCACTCTGTGATTGATCTGTTCTTCTCTCATGGAGTATAGCTCTATATATAAAGTCTGTAGCCTGCCTTAAAAATCAAAATAAAAAGACATTATTTTCTAAGAAAATCGCATATAATTTTCAGTTCACTTACCACAAGCATTAGACTACATAAATCATTATTTTGTGTCTGGCAAGCTTGTTGTATTTTTTAAACAAATTTCTAATAAGGCCTTTTATTATGGTACCTACGGTGTTCTCTGTCATAAAGCAGCCTGACAAAACAAAGCAGAAGCAGATTTCACATATGAAGCCACCTGCACCTTTCTAGAAGACGTGGGAAAATGCTGAGTGAATTTGGCAGCATTTTTCATCCTGTGAACTGACAAGGGTCTGGGAATATGATTTGAACATAGTAAGGTGCAAGAGAGGGAATGCCTGTAAGGACATGAGGCTTCAATCCTCACAGAGGCCTCAGTGCTGGTTCTGCTCGCTGCAGATGATTGTTTAAATTGCATCCCGTACCTTTAGCATCCGGCATCTGTCTCATAATTTCCTCTCTCTCTGCTTGTTCAGTAGCTGTAGTGACCCTGAATGACCCCTCTCTAGTGAATGTGGTTCTGCTGGCATCAAAGGTGGCAGTCACTCCACACTCCTTCTCTCGCTTCTGCTTTCGCTCCAGGCATGCTGCAAATGCACAGCCCACGGCGTGACTCAACCTTTCCCCCTGCACAAGACAACATTGCATCACAGTGACTGAACAGAAACATACATGAGCTTCAAGCATCACAAACTGATAACCTGCCTTTACAAGACAAATCTAATTAAAGCGTTAAAGAAAACGATTTTAATTGTATTTCAGCCTTAAACCTGGTACATAAAGACGCCCAGCTACTAATACACAAGCCATGCTCAAGAAGGCCACCCAGGAACGAATGAGATTGTTGGATGATGTGTTTAGTTCAACTGCTGCTAAGATGCCAGTGCGATAACGTGCCTGCACCGATCCCTTGCCTCCAGATACATCTGTGCACAAAGAAACGCTCATGAAGCCATCTTAAGGTGTAAGTCCTAAAGCACAGGTAAGTGCTGTTCTTGGAGAAAGCTTACAGAGGGCTCAGGGAGACACTGCCCTTGTGTGCACCTATGAAAGTTAAAAGTACGGTGGTGACTACTCACGCCTCTTAATGGTTCTGACCAAATGCACACGGTAGATTTAGGAGAGCCTAATGAAAAGCACTTCCATTATTCACCAGTGCAAAAGAATCCACTATCCAATAACTGTAAAAAGCAAATTCAAGTCGGAGGAAGTCCAGCAACCCAGCTGATACAGCTGCCACAGTTGAATAAGAGGCTCTATTGCTACCAGTAGCTCAACTAATCTATCATAATCAGTAAGTGAATTGACCTTTTATTCACAGATGAAAACAGAAATGTTCCAGCTCTAATGTAAGTTTTACTGGGAATTTCTAACTTCATTGTTTAAAGAAAAATGATAAATTATCAAGCATCATTGCTCTGAACTTGCATCTCTGGGGAGTTCACACAGTGAATTTGCATGAGGTTTCAAGCACTTTGTATAATATAGGCAGGAGTCAATGAATAGCAGAGAGAAGAAAAGGTCAGATCCGGGAGTTAAATAACTTACCTAAGTCTACACAGCAAGAAACTGATTTTTAAACCTACTGAAAACATTTTTGTCACCCAGAAGCAAATAGAATGCTAATTTAATTCAGTTTAGCTCCATCTCTTAACATTCAGATGAATTTTCATTCAAGATAACACTCACATACAAGACACTGCATTCATAACCAGTCTGTATTTACTCACTATGGTTTTATCCTGGAAAAACTGTCATTGCTGTTTCAGTTTTTGACTGTAAACATTTTCAGATGAGAAATTTTTCTGTCTATTCTTAGAAGAGTAGTTCCCTTCTGCTGGGAGATTATCTGAGGCTGACTGCACTCCTTTTACACACAGGCTGAGCAGCATTTCTCTCCATAATACGGCACCACAGAGGGATGGCAAATATTTCAAGATACAGGGAATTAGAATTAAAACAATTTACAAGGACTAAGTACTGTCTCAGCTGGAGTCAAAACATATTTCACTATTCCAGGTACTCACATTTTCTGCCCTTTACTTCTAGCTAAGAGCTGGGAGAGCTGGCCACACAGCACGTTCAACTTACCGTGTCCTTGACAGCCATAAAGCAGTGGCAGATCCAGCGTCTCGTTGTGCCATCCCGGCAGATGTACGAGAACGCCCGGTCAAAGTTCCTGTCTGGTGCGCAGAAAGAAACCTTCTCTATTGTCTGATCAACTATAAGATCCTAGAGGGAAAAAATCCCCCCCCACAATAAAAGAAATGTGAGGAAATACAGTCAAACATTTGAACAAGTCATTGTCAGGAGTAACTGCACAAAAATGAATTGTACTAAAAAGGGGATAACCTGATGTGGCTGTAATTATCTGTCATCAGTTATCATTCAGAATCTGTTTCCAGTATGAAACAAAAAGAAGAGATGACATTCTCCACCACCCAGCTTTGGGAGAGGTGTGCCAAGGCACCACTTAAGAATTTAGGGACCCAGTGAATTCCTATGACCTCTCCTCTAGAGACTATGGAGGCACACGTTATTTTTTATTTTTACAGCAGCTCCGTAGTTTTGAAACCAGAAAGTTTTCACTGTGGTTAAAACACAATACTGAAACTCAGGGGAGAGGTCTGTAAGTGTGACAAGGTCTTGCAGCTGCTACACAAAGAGCAAAACTCATCTCCCAGTCAGCTAAGCAGGGATGCAAGAGAAAAGCACCAACAGCACTGGTAGCACCAAACGCTCCCTATTTAATCCCACAGATGGGAGAAGTGTTTCTAAAAAGGAGATAGTGCACTTTAAGATTATGCCACCCTCATTAAAAATTAGTTTCTTAATATTTTTTTCCAAATTATTTCATTTGGTTGGTGGCTAGTACTTGGCACCTCTGCTGATGTATTCAACCACCAGGAGGCAATAGTTTATTTTCTTTTTAAATCCTATACTTTTAATTACCTCAAGAGTCTGCACACCTTATTAAAATTCAATTTAAAAATATTACATATATGCAGCCATATTTCTAAAAATAATACAGGTATTATTACTTTTACATGTGGCAATCAGTAGACTTGAATTCATTCACATCAGTATGTTTGTACTAGAAAGTGAATTATTGAGAGATAGCAACTTTAGCTCTGATGAGCCATAGCACCATAGCAGCCCTGGAGGCAGTTGCACTCCAGAGGGATATGAATTAGCTTTGCCTGTCAGTGTTGGCTTGGAGAAATCATCTTTTAGGCAGACAAAACTAAGTGTCAATTGATATGAACATAAAACTATTTCAGACTGACAAGAGTTAAAACTATTCTCATAGCCATGCCATCTTCTAAAATTCTAGAGCACTTGTGGCAGAAAGCCTAAAGCTCTTATTTCTTATTGCCTACATCTACATAAAGCCAAGAATCATTTGCTCTTACTTGGACACATGTGCCTTGGTAGTATACCATGTGCTAATTCATAATAAAAAATGGTAATTTCACAATAAAAAACTCTAAAACAATCTAGAATTATGCCACAAATATATTAGTTTTCCACTTCAGACCAACATCTTTGATATTAAAGACTATCAAATTTGATATATGCAGTTACTATTTAGTTTGAGTCTGAAGCTACACTCTCCCTATTTATTTTACTCTCTTCATTGCATTTTTGGAAGCTCTTGTACATTCAAGATCCATTCTAGGATTTGGATGCACTGAAAATGATATTGATTAATATACATATGTGAGTTGCATTACTATTGCAACCTTTTGCAGTGGTGCAGAACAAAGACTCTTCAAGTTCACTGCCAACAGAACTTTTCAGGAAAACAAATGCTTGTTGCAGTAAACGCAACAAAAAATATTCCAAGCTTGTGCTACACCTGACATATTTTACAAAATGTGTCTTGAGAGTAGTATGGAATTAACTTGGAAAAAAATTAGCAGGTGTACATATGTTTACAAAACAGTACATTATTAAACTAAACTACACACTTCAGTCTTCCTTTCAAATATCAAGATTTGCAGTAACATAAAGATTGGTGTTCATTTAAAGATACAGCACATACATTATTATAGAGAGATTTAAAACTTTTGCCCAGGGAAATCTAACCTTTGTTTTCTCATCTACAACTCTGAGTCCATCCGCCGAAACCCACAGGACTGCTTTGACGGCTTTCTTCCCAGACTTTCAAGAAAAGAAAAAAAAAAAAAAAGAAAGAAAAAAAAAAGAAAACAGTTTTATGCCAACAGCCAATTACCTCCCGCTCCCCCTCTCCAAGAACTATAACATTAAGTGTAGATGAAGTCCATGGTCAGTAGGGTGCCCAAAGCTCAATCCAAGTTGCAAAACATTAAGAGAACCAAGCCAAAGCCAGTATTTCAGAAATAGCACGTCGTGGGGATGGGGAGAGGGCACAGGACAGGTGAGGCAGAAATAAGGTGTACATCCACTGACAGTAAAGAATTCAAGACTGACCAAGTGGGTGAAGAATTCCACTGGAGTCAGAAGACACTCATTCATAAGGAGTTACACCACAGGTAGCTTCTTCAGCACAAGTTTAAATATAGGAAAATTCTTACCTGATATTTCCACCAGCCCTACCCTCTGCCCCAAAAGTCCTATGGCAGAATCATGGCATCACCTTGAACCAGTGTTAAAAGCACCCCAAAATCATCAGTTACTGTGTAGCTTATTAAGCTCATAAGCTTAATGCTAAGATGAATCACCCAATACATTTCACCAATTTATTAAGACCTAAATGTCTTATCTTGGGGAAGAGGTATAAAAATAGGATTTCTTAACCCTTTGGTGTATATCTGGAAAAAGCAGTGGTGTGTGGCAGGCAGATGCAGCGGAGAGCGGTCTGGCTTTTATCCAAAACCTGACTGTGGGAACTTTCAGCTGCCACAAGCTGAGGCTAAGTAAAAGTGGGGAACACAGGAAGGCCTCAGGAGCCATTTAAACTACAGATTTTTTCCAGGCTGTTTACTTTTCAAGGGAAAGTTACAGAAAACAGTATAAACACCATATTCTTCTGAAGCTAATTCACTGAAAAGAAAATAGGTCAATGTAATTTTACTGGTTGTTACAGAGAACTAATACTAGAAAACTAATACCTTTTTTTCAGCATGTCACTTTAATTCACAATCTCCCTACTTCAGTCAGTTATTAAAATACTCTCTTCATGTGTTTTGAAGCACTGGGTTTACATAGTTTGTGGCTGCTAATGGCACCCACCAGAAACCACTGCAGGGAGTGAAGAAAGCAAGAACAGGGAGGGGAAAATAGATGAAGGGGTTTCAGCTAGTGGCTTCAAACAAGAATTGCAACTATTTTATAATTTTTTAATAGTTTATTGCATATGTATATACTTTATATTCTTACAGCAAGTAACGGAACAGGAACACATTCTAGCATAAACTACTGCATGTTCCAAGTCTGCAATACCAATTTTAACACTGTAAGAATGAAATATCTTGGAGTGAAAAGTCTCCAATTACATCACATTGGTTTCATTGTCAGAGAAAGCAGCAAGTGTGAAGAAAAAGGTGCTGGCAGAACTTCTGTTTGTTTTTTGGGGAGGAACTATCTGTCCTGATTTCGGAAGCAGCAATGACATCCTGAGTATTTTCAAAAAGCTTGGTGAGAACAGAGAATGGCACTGACTTGCACAGAAGAGCATTTAAAGAAAAAAAAAAAGAAAGAAAATAAGCACAGCATGAAAGCAAGCTACAGAGAAGTGCTTGCAGAAGCAAGTTTCTAAATGACCATCCAGCCTGTTGGATACCCCAGAGAATGTTTAATTTAGATTCTGGAATGCCTAATGGAAAGAGTACAATTCACAACAGAAGATACACTATAATTTACCATCATATGTGTTAGAAAATATTGCAGCATATAAAAGTCACTCCTAATATTTTGCTTTAAAAGGCAGTATCAATATCCACAAAATTTAGTCTGTATTTTCAATGCTTAGCTAGCTTCCACAGCCTGAAAGTCTCTATTAATTCCAAAACAAATGGTCTGTCTCCTTGAACTGTTTTAAAAAGAGTATTGATTGTTTGTAAGCCATAACTCTTAAAAATCTTTATTTCAAGCAAATACAAACAATGAAGAGAAGACAATGCCTGCAGGTAACTGTTTGGTTTAGACTGCCATCATTAGATTAACAGATACACATCTTTCCCCAGCAAACAATAAAAACCTTGTCCCTACAGAAACTGTGAATAATTCCTGACGTTTGTATTAAAGCCAAGTTTAACTGAGCTGGGTACTTTAATAAGCAATGCTGATCTTCAGCAGAGCTACTCCTCACTCGCTATTTCACCAAATGAGGATTTACAAATAGCCAACACATGAACTTCATGTTTCTCAGAATAAAACAAAAAGGCTGAAGAGCTTCCTTAAGCCTTCTTTTCCCACTGAAACATTAGGTTCCACATGCAAGATAACCAAAGATGGGTTTGCTATGCTAAGAGAAAAAGAAAACTCATTTAAATTGCTCAATTCCTTCTATATTTATGGTGGATGCAGTGTTATGAAAGAGCTTATCCCTACAGTCTATACCCCAAACCCACTGCTACTACTGCTGGACAACAAATGATTTTTACATTTACTGAATTCTCAGCTTATCTGTGCCCAGCAGTGATGTATAAAGGAGCATACTCCTCCAATTCAGTTTCTATTGGATATACAAATCAAAGTACTACTCCATTATGGGCAGGATAGTGCCAAGTAAACTGTGATTACAGAGTAGACAGGAGCATTTACACTATTGGCACATACTGGGCAAAGATCAGACCAGCTGCAAGATACTGCATGGGAAGTGAACTCCAAAGCAGCATTGCAGCTCGTGTAACAAATGCTGGGAGGCACAGGCAACTCCACACAGAAATATTTAAAGCAAGTGGCCAATATCCACTGGAACAGGATGCTCTGAAATGTTGCTACCAAGGGACTCATCCAGACATCCAGATCAGTAGCTTGTCTTCCTATTCTAGAGCTTTTAGATGACAGCACTGCCTGAGGAGAGCCACATGTGGCACTGACTCCCGGGAGCCTGATTTGTCAGGGCTGAGTCAGCACGATAGAAACCTCACTGCTCAGTACTTCTGGGGAGGTCAGCTATCTGCTCCAGCACGAGATTCATTATCTGGACTCATTTCAGAGTCCTCAGATGCCTCCAGGAGGGCAGGTGGGCACTTATACAACACATGAGGCCAGAGGACAGAGCAGGTCCATGGCAGGTCAGGCACGACAGAAACCTCAGTGACAAACTGGCAGTGCCAGAGATGGGCATCCACCAAACAAAAAGGAGCTGCTTTGATACCTTGCCATACTGTAAGGTGGAAAACAAAGTATTAAGGATGCCAGAACAGAAGTTGCCCAGGAATGCATTTTTAAAATACTTTTACTTTGTTTCATGTTTTTCTGCCTATTATATTTTATTCTATCCTAGGACTTTGACACAGCTCTAAGTCTACCTGGAGCCTGAGGTATATATAAAGAAAATTTTTCATTTCAGACTCTGAATAAAACATTGTATGATGAGAAACACACATACTCTGTGGAGGCAAAACATGACAAAGATCAGCAAATCTGTAATACTACTCACTGCAACAGAAAAACTTTAGTTTTAAAAGGAGCTGCCTAAAAAGGCAGCTTATTTGATAACCACAAAAGCCTAACCTGGAGCTATCAACAGACATCTCATTTTTATTTAAAGTTGGAAAAAAGTATTTTCAATATTAACCGCTTGAACATTTCCAGACACAAATCCATCATATTTACCTTTTACAAGGAGAAAAATAAGGACAGCAAACACGTCTAGACTGACTTTCTGAAAGCTGCTGATGTGTTTTAAATAGCTCTGCAGTTTGGAATATTATATTAATCCCAACACAAGGCATCTGGGGAGAAATTATAGATGAGACAGCCAAAAGATATTAGAGTTATTAGTATTTCTCAATTATTAATAAGAGAACAGCTGTCCCTCTTTCCACAGATTTCCCTAGATGTGGGCTCCTGTTGTAGGCCAAAGCTGTAATAAAGGTACTGCCACATTGGTACTGTGGGGATATCTAAACACCATGGATTTAAGTGGCTTCAGTGCTAATTAATGAAATTAACAGGCTGAAGTAGAAGTAGGTCCTTCTTTGTCAAAATATTACAATACAAGAGAAAGGAAATATAAAATGCTGTGGTGAAGTACCAGGACTTCATTAAATATCAACCAAGGTGTAATAGGGAAAATGGCATATTTAATAATTTTAAAAGTCAAAGAAAGATTTTAACCTAAGTAATGCCTTTCCTTTTACATCTTTGCTTTCTTACGTACCCTAATGTAAGTTAGAAACGACAAGTAAAGAGAAAACTAACATATCTAATCAGGTTGGGTCCTGTTTGATTTTCAATTTAGTACTTTGGGTCTGGTCTTTCTAGATTCCAACTCCAAGATTTGATTTTTACACAGAACTCTTCTCATTAATCTGACAGATCTGCCATCTTCTGCACTTTAGCCCCTCACCATCACTACACTTTGGATGTGTGCTTTCCCAGATCACAGGAAGAAACTAGAATTGGGTAAACAGTGACATGCATCACTAACTGAGTGAATGGTGAAAAAGGATCAGCTGCAAAAACCTTACTCCCCAAGTAAAGCCAAAACCAATCCATGACTAGAGAATAATCTGCTTCAAAAGACTTCAGCATGTATGAACGTTACAAACCTGTTAGTTTCTATTTAAGCAAGTTTTAATTTTGTAACAAGATACTTCAGAAACCATTATTTTATAATGCCATATGAAAGCTGGATTAAAATGTTTTACAGGAATTTTAAACAGATAGGCAGGAAACAGATGAGAGGTAAAAGAGAGTGGTCTTTCTGCCTTGCAGAAATGTAGGCAGCAAGAATAAAACCACCCAGCCACCAGTGCAGCACATTCTTAATAAGGACAAAGAGTTGCTTCCCTTCTTATCTAAGATATTGTCCTTGAGAAAACAGGAGCAACAATAAAAACTGGAGATTGAGCTGAAATTAGGAAAACGTAATAGGTAAATGCCTGATCTCATCTTCATATATCTTTGAATGGGACTGTGCTCAAAAAAGGAAGGTTTAAGAGATGGCACACTGCTTTCTCCCAGTGCTAACATTTGGGGATCAGCTCATGCTGCCAGGCAGCTGAGCATGAAGCACTTACACAGCACAGACCTCAACTGTTCTGTAGGTATTTGCCCAGGTGATGTAGGTTGGCAAAAGTTTAAGGGTTAAAAAAGAATTTATTTTTTTTCCAGGAACACCAAATCACTTCAGAACACTGCATTTCCGATACAGTCCACAAGTTTCTGTTTCAGGTTACTTTTGAAACCACATTATTTGATCAAAATATTTCCAAGTCTGTTTTAGAAGCAAATATTCTGAAACGGATTAAGGAACTTTCAACATCCTGATTTTATGGCAGTGCTATACCAGGGATGTAACTCCTTATAGTGCAAGCACAAACAAGGCATTAAACTTACTTTTCCAAAGAAGCCTTTGAAGAACTTCCTTTCCTGGAGGAACAGGGGGGACAAGTCGAGCGCTATTACTGTAGGTAGCTAAAATGTCCCAGGGTTTTCAAACCAACAAGCACACACAAGAATAGGGTTTGGAGGGAAAGGAAGGGGTTTTTAGAGTTATCCATGAGAAGGTGCGACAGGCAAATGTGAAAATAATCCTATGAAAATGCAGATCAAAGGGCACACACACAGTTCTAATAAGCTACTGCCCTGAAATTGGTGGAAAGAAGAAAACCTCAGCCCCAATTTCATGCAAAGTGGTTACTTTATTTTCACTCTCCCTTGTTTAGTCCCTTTTGGTTAGGTTATAAACCAAACTTGGCAGCAGACATGGTGGTTAAACAAGTAAAATACCGTACAGGCTCTTGTGAAATGCAAAGTTCTAACTCCAGAACTGCAGTCTAGTTTGCTCTGTATTGATCACTCTTCCCCAAAGCTCATGTTCTGTATGTTGGAGAAGCATGTATGGCTGATATAAAGCAGGGGTAAGTATGGCTGCATTTTATTCCATCTGTTTGTTGCTCTGGCTTATGTGCTACTCTTCTGCTTCACACCTTATGTAGTCTTCTCTGAAGAGCAAGGAATTTCATGGTAACCTTGTGGTAAAACTCAAATACAAATGAGACCCCTTTCACTTTCTCTAAAGCCTTCCAAGGCTTTATGCAATATTTATACACATACTAGTTATTCATTCTACAACTCTGAATTGATAGCTTGAACAGCCTTTAAAATCAGCTCAGGCAGGCAGAGACAGTTAGGCAAGTGCAAAGATACCAAAGGCTGAACTACAATTTCCTAAATTTCTTCAGGAAAGCAATTATACACGATTGCCCAATCCATATTAAGAAAAAGCCAGCACACGATTTTAAGCATATTTGCATGCAGTTTAGTTTACTAGCTTTATTTTGTTACCAGACTGTGGAAAATAAACTACATGAGAGAAGACTTCACGAGGCCTGCGGCTCTGCAAGCACAGCCACACGCTGTGTGAGGGAAGCCAAGGTGAAGCATGGAGCTGTTCCTGCCATCTTCCCAAATGACTCCACTTGTAAGAAAGCTCTGGCAGAGCAGTAATGAGGAGGAGAATTGCAGGAGAGATAGGGAGTGTCTCTGTGACAGCCCCTGACCCCACATTTACACTGTGCAATTCCAACCTGTTCCTCACTGATACTAGTATATTAAAAGTATTGCCACAAACATCCTGAGGCAGTGTCTGAAGAAGTGATTGATAAACAAGGTTATATTTAAATCAAAGCTATGGTTCTGATGCAAGGCAACAAAAGCCAGGAAACACCAAGTTAAGGAGGGAGTGTCCATCTCAACTTTGCATTTCCTGGCCCTGCTGGTGTGTCCCTCTCTGCCTAATGTCCTTCCACAGAATGTTTTGCCAGGTACCTGTAACATATTTACATCAACTCAGACACTGTACAAAGAACCTCTCCAAGCTCAGTCAGCTGAAAGGCTTAAGTACTTTTGGAGGCAGGAACAGTTATGTATTTGGACAGGATATGCTGAACACTAGGAGGGGAACTAATGGATTAATCACAATGTAGTGTACATAATGAGAAGGGGTTGGATGCTGCTGCCAAGTTGAGCAATGACTATTGCATTACACTAAATAATAGCTTTTTAAAGACAGCAAAAGCTGAAGAGATTCACCAGAAGCTACCTCATTTTTAGGTGATGGTTAATTTTAGTTTCAGAAAAATGCTTGTTAAACAAGATTATTTTTTTAAAATAAACTAGACAAGGTTAATGGAAAAGGCATCATGCAAAATGGGTTTTAAACAACACTATGTTAATGTAGTTTAGAGATAACTAATGCATTTAAAAAAAATATTAAATTATGTCTCTTTACCTGCTAAAACAAGAACATATATTAAAACAAATGCATAATTTAAAACAAAAAGTGGCAAGTTAGAAACCAATACTACAAGCTAAAGCTGATTTAAAATCAAAATATGACATGAGAGAGTACACTTTTGTCTTTACATGATGTTCCCACACCTGAGTCAAATACACTTAACAAGGCCCTTAAAGTTACTTTCCAGTTGGCACTAAATATTTTAAATTCAGTGAAAGGGTCCTGAAGAAATCATTTAGAGCTTCATGTCGATCTACAAGAATCTTATCAGATATTAAATGTATACAAAGCTAGCAATGTATTTCCACTAAGGGAATCATGTAAGCTACATTGGTAATATTCCATTAAGGAAAAATGTAAGTTCTGTTGGTAATATAAGCCCACATTAATAGCAGACTAATAGCTGAATATGAAGGGTTTTGATCTGTTAATGAGACTGTGATGCCATTTCATCAGACAGAAGATTACAGTATTGTTGGTGTGCAGTTTCAGAGCTATAAAACTGTAACAACAGAGTACAGTGTGGATGAGGGATTCTTGAGCTAAAAGTGGCTTCTTGTACTCGGTTGTCAATTAAGCAATGTCTGAATAAAATGCTCAGCATCACTTGTTCACAAGTTCTGCAAGATGCAACACTCAAAAACAATTACACCCATGAAAGGAGCAGGTAATAAAAAATCCAAATCCCTGAAAGGTTATTTCCCACAATAAAGATACAGGTATTTGTTTACATCTTTTCTTTCAAAAAGCAAAGCAGTAATTAAACTATTCCTAGAGTCAAGATTAACACTGTTCTATATTCTTCTTAGCAAATCCCACAAAATCTTTTAAAACCCAGCAGTCAGTCCTATAAAAGAACACTCTTCAGTTCCCCAAATGAATTGCCAACTGTTGTACAGTAAGAATTAAGAGGCAAAAATATATCTATTAGAATAAGAAAAGATAGACAGAACTTAATTTTTGGAAGCTACAGGATACAAATATTTCAACAATTCTAATTTTTAGTGACTGGATTTATAAAACCTACAGAGATTTATAAAACCTTACCTGCAGAGAATAAAGTTTAAAATAGCCCATATACAATTCAATGTCATTTAACCACATTAAAAGTGAAGTCCAATTTCCCTTAAACTGGTGTTTCAGTTTGAGCACTGCAAATCAAACTTGCAATTCTTTCAAAACCAAGAGAAAGCCCATCAAAATAACTAGGTAATGTGAAAGCAAGGGACTACCAGAGAATGAACTGTTTCCTTATCACATTCCTCACAGGCTGAAATATCATCCAGTGTTTGGCTTCTGCTAAATTAAGAGTGTCTTGTACAGAACAGAGCTTTTGGTAATGGTGATGTCCTAAAGAAATGCCCCTGGTTTAAAATCCACATTCTGGGGGTGAGGGGCAGGGCTTGAATTGCAGGGAGCAGCTCCAAACGGACCTTGGATCTGATAGAGTCCAGCAACTAAAGCACACAAAGTAATTTCAGTAATCTGAATCTTCCTCTTGGGGCACAAAGAGAATTTCACCTCTCCTTCTCGACTTCCAACATTGACAAAGGAGACAAACAGCAATTGTAAGAGATGCACACTTGTATCTGGTGTACACATAGACACCAAACAGCAGAAAAAAATCAAAATTATCTGAAGGAAAATGTTAATTTAAGAGAATAGGCAAATTCATGCCATCCACTATTTGGAATAATGACATAACGTGGATTAGGGAAATTTAACTATTTACTTTCAGAAAATGCTGACTAACTGCAAAAGTCAGATATCCAAGTCTGACATTTGAATCAATAATTCATGTGATCAAGAATCACAATCCTAGAAATCCAGACTCCAGAAGAAACTGGGTGCTAGGCTTTTACTATGTCTCATTAATTATAAGCTTAGCTACATTTAGTTGGCTCATGAACTTGTAAGATTTTTATAAACTAGAGAACAGCTACTTCACAGCATAACTCCCCAGGGAAGATAATGAAAGAAGTTGCACAAAGTAGATACTGCAGTGCTATCTGGTGTGCTAACAGAAAGTATTCTGGGAGAATAAAAATCAGAAAGAGACAAAAACGGATGCAATTGATTATGCGGTCAGTACTTGCACTTTCAGGTACATAAACTAAATCCACAGAACAAAGAAACTCATTTATATTTTGTGTGGCCCTTTTTAATAAAAATCAATGACTAATCACTGTGGACTGAATGGGAACAGATGGGATGCGGCTTTAACAGGTTACTATACATTAGCTGAGAAAGAAAAGAATGAAAAGACTTGATTTTAATCAGAGCACTAAACCAATTCACAAACTTTACAGCACAACAGAAGGCAGAAAAGATAACCTATAATTATCTGCTGTGTGCTAGGAAGAAGGGAAAACCAGGTTTAGATGGAAACCATTTGGGCTCTCAGACTTGGTGAGGAAAGAAAAGGGATGTCCAGTGGCACACATTTTAAATCAGTGAAAGTGCAGCAGAAGGGTTTGATGGATTTGATGGATTTTATTGAGCTGCAAGGATACAAGGGTTTCTTCCACTGAATGCATACTGAAGAATATAGATAAAACATGAAAGAAAAGTGATGACAAGGAATGCAGTTCTCTACCTCTATCAAAAATTCAAGTTTTTCATGTCCTTTCTCCTGTTCTTTTTTATGATGTTAAAGCCTCAGTTCCTTGACAGACTGATCACTGCCTTTCTGGAGTTTGCTATTTCCGCAGGATTTTGTGGTATTATTACTGCAGGAAAGAGATGACAAGACCTCTTCAAATGAGCCACAGAAATACAAAGAGCTTTGAACGAGTGCCATTTACAGGAGCAAACGTTCACAGAAGCCAAACTAAGAGCAGCCCACTTCATGACATATCAGAATTAGGCAGCCTTCAGGCCACTTTGAGCAGATGCAAGCCAGATTATTTCATGCATGACTACAATGCTGCAGTGCATTAGAAAAAAAAGCATCCTAAAACAAGTAATATTTTGTATAATAATGGTGAATTAAGTCACTATTAAAGTGGCAGGCAACAGAGGGAAAGAGAGAGAGGGGGAGAAGAAAAGAGAGAGAGGGAGAAGCTGTTAAAAAACAATGGTTGAAGTCCCATGTGGGTACCAACTTAGCCTGAAAGGTCACAGAGAATTTTTACACATTTGTTTTGCAAATAGTTTCTGCAAGTAGAAAGAACAGTTGTAACTCTCCCTCTCATCATCAGATTAGCACGTCCCCCCAAGAGCAGCAGTGCTCTCCAACTGGCCAACTGTTCTCCTACCATGGGTCAAAAGTTCAGTCTTTAGCTGGAGCACTGCTCCAAACAGACCTTTCCCAGTAATGCTCACAGCCCCAGTGCCAACGTTTTCATTCAATAAATATACATACAGATTTCAGCCTCTTCACAGCATCTTCACAGATATGCATTCCTCTGGACTCGTCCACTTCAACATGTCCCAAGTACTGCAGGAAAGAGTGTGGGAAGAAAGGTTAACAGGAGCTCCTTAATGTCCCAGGGTTTTGATGAATCCAATCTCTGAACTCATCTCAGTGCAGCTGATGTGACAGACATTACCAGCACTCTGCCAGCCTTCTTGTAAACCTGCATTTGGAGGTTTGACTGTGTGTATCTATGGGGGCATCAGCATCAGCAGAAAAGTGTAATACAAGTAGAAATTTGGAGGGAAAGACAGACTTTCCTTACTCAGGGAACAATATGTAATTGAAAAGTACTGAAAACTCTGCTTTCCTGCTTATTCATCATAAGCTTTAGTAATTTTTTTTTTACTAGCATAGCATGAAAATCTTACATCAATATAGAGATGATGGTGAATAAATTATTTTTGAATAATGATAAATATATTTAGTATTGAAAACCAAATTACACTACACAGAAAGATGATCACATATTTTTCAATAGTAATGTCCAAATATGAGAAATTTGCCCACCCCCTTTTTTAAAATTGTAAATCAAAATTGTTTATCCTCACTACAACAACAGACTATTATGTGGACACTGAGACATTCATCATTCTTACAAAGAGAGGTTTAAAAAAGAAAACAAAACAAAACCCACCTGTTTTCCACATATTCATCTTACCAAGCACTACTTTAAAAACCCCCTAGTAACACAACAGTGAATAGAAACATCAACCTTCAAAGCTTTTAAATTTACAACCCAGAATAATATTAGCCTATAGAGAAACCAGTTGCAAGAAATACATCAAGAGTGTAGTGTTCAGGTTACCATGGATAGCTTTACACTCAAACTTTTAGCTTTAATTTCTCCAGTTTCCCTGCCTTTTCCAATGATAGGGTTTTTTTTGATAGTGAAAGGAAGTGTTCTCTCAGAAAAATTCATATCGTTATTCAAAGTACTTAACTCTTGAAGAAAATCAGAGAAATCCTCAAAACCTTTCTGAAGTTTTGCAATAAGAGCTATAAGTGAAATAAACTTTTCCTTATTTACTTGCCATTGTAAGAGTTGCATGCAATTCACCATCTAGATTCTAAGCTAGCTAGAGAGTGAATAAGTGGTTTTAAAATATGAGAAATATTCAGAATCAATGCTTGTGTCACTTAATGTAGTTTATTAACCTATTAAGAAGTTGCACTCTATAATAGACTATTCTGTTGTGAGTTATTTGAAATCTCCTAGATTTTCTTTTATTAATTAAGATACTAGCCTTGGACAAAAAACCATTTCACTCACAGCACCATACTGAAGCATCCTCAGATGTAGAGATGCAACTATATGGAGAAAATCAATATTGTTTCAAAGATTTAACAGAAATTGGGACGTTGAGTTTTTTTCATGCAAGGCAAGATGCTCCAGAAGGGGAGGCTCTATATATAATTGAGCTGCTGAAAGATTTACAATATCTTAAGTGACAGAGAGCTTTAGCACTAAATCTCACTATGTGGCATTTTTTTAAACTGAGTTAAATGTGGATGGAACAATTCTGGAAGAATTTCATTTAAATTAGCCCTCACAGCTGGAGAACAGCTTGAAAAATAAACTGCACTGAAATTAGAAGGTAAATAAAAGAGATCTGACTCTTTAGAGCTTTTTCAAAATGAGCTCTGTGAGGCTGAAGCCTTATAATTGAATGCTGGAGCTGCCAAAACAGCAACTGTACTCCCCCAGTTGAGCCTGCTGAACACTTGCGCAAGATCTTGTTCATTTCTCCAGAACACAAAGTAGAACATTTTAATCCTAAAAATACACAAACAGTAACAACTAAAGATGCAATTACTATGTGTCTGGAAGTACATATGTACATCATCAACTACTCAGCTGTGCCATGACTTCTCTGGGAGAAGTTCCAGACATGCAGAAATTCTGTTGTACATTTGTCCTGAGAAAGTTTTGGGTCTAGTAACTTCTCTTTAAGAAGCGACTGACATAGACAGGAACAAGCCTGCAGTTTACACTGGACATAAAAAAATAAGTGTAAGGAATGAACCATCTAGTCTGCATGACCAGTTGTATCATCCATATAGAAGGCAACTTTCAGATTTCCTGACCTATCTGCACATCTCATTTACTTCAGTGTAGCCAGAATGTTTCCAACTGAAGATTCAAACCATTCAGCCCCTGTACTTGGCAACCTGCCTTTTGCTTGGAAAAGAGAGAAACAGAGCAGGGTAAATATTGCCTCATGTCACACTGCAAAACAGACAACCATTCTCTCCTGGGCTGCCAAACCTCCATTCAAGTCCCATGTTCCAACTTCCAGCAATCAGTCATGCCACTGCTGCTGGAGACAGCAAGGTTAGCTGCAGTTTTCAATACTGCTTCCACTGCTGTGAATGGAGACATTATTACACATATCAAGTGCATCTATCCACACCAAAGGGGTACAACCCACAGACCTCATTGAGCATCAATCAATTCTGAATTATAAAATAAATTACACTGTCATACAATACTTCTTTATGATATAGAGGACAAAAGGTACTTTGTTTGCATTTACATCTTACACTTCTAGCCCTTCATAAAAAAGAAAAAAAAACGTGTTCTTGCCATTGCAGAGGCCAGTTTTGCAGAAGCCAAAAGCTCATCATTAGTGCTGGCGTTGAACATTTTACAGCCAATTTCAAAATTCTTCTTGCTTTGGTTTTTAATTTTTCTGGGATGGAGAGGTGGTGTGTTAATTGCTTATACGTGCCAATATACTTTTCTTTCCTGTAAAAATAAATTTTAGTTCTATAACCAGAACACTGTGGTCCTTTTCATAGCCAAATGCCCCTTAAGCAGCAGGTCGCCTTCCAAGTCTTCAAGCTTCCTTCATCAGTCTGAGAGCAGATATACACCTATTTAACCAGTGCTACAATATTTATCTGGCTTTTAATGGATAGTAATCAAAGACAAAAATATTTCCTCAAGGAGACAGGCAAAAAACTCTGTCAAAATTGAAACCTCTTCTTTATATTTCAGACCTAAGTGCTAAATTGCAAATCTATCTCAACTTAGCCTTAAATTCGAAATATTGGCTCAACTTACCAGTGCAGCAGCATTTTATGAGCGACATTTCAAAATTTAATAAAAGAAATGCAGCTACTAGTTAGAGTCTGAAATGAAAGTTAAACACCAGAACTCAGGACTTCAGAAAAATAAATTATTGTTAAATTCTGTTGCTACATCGCCAGAAAGAGATTATATGGAAACCACTTTAAAGCAGATACACAAATCCCACGCTTTTATACACAACCTTTCAGGATCTTTGGAAGGAACTTCCCTTTCAAACTAAAGGAGAAGAAACAAACTGCTGAAGTGCCTAGGCAGCCACTGTCCCATGTAAGTAAAGTCTCATGCAAATCCATGGAGCACATTATCACAAACACGCCCGAGGCCCGGGACACGTAAGCACTGGGTACACAGAACCCAGCACGACCTGCCTAAGCCACACTGTGGTGGATGGTGACTTGGAGAGAGGTAAGGAAAGGAGCACCCCTGACATATCTGCAAAGAGCATTTCTTGTCACAGGGATTGTTGCAGCTAGCATCCCTGGAGAAAGTGAGTACTTTTCCATCAGGAAAATGCACATAGCAGGAATGCAGTATTAATATTGAATGCACTCCTACTTAATTTCCATAGCAACCAGTGAATGATAGTCATGACATCAGCAATTCTCGGACATAAGTTGTTCTGTAAGAGATTTAATCGTTATACCAGAAATTAACCACCAGTGCTTTTACAGAAAGCTAAAATCCATGTGGGCAGAGTCTACATACAGAGTAACATAACATAAAAGCTCTAATCTAAATAAAACACTTTCAGAGGCTGTTGGAGAAAAGTCCTTAATGCAAACATTATTAAATAGAAGCACTGCTTATATTGACATTTTTAGCAAAAAGAAGATGAGATTGTGGTACAGCAAATTAAACAGAAACCAAAAAACCTTCCCTCTTCATCACTGATTTTTATGTTCTCTTCCACTGAAGGGGATGTTTGGTATCAATCTCAAACCAAACCTAAAGCAATCGACACAGGAACAAGTTAAACTGCCACACAGCAAAGCATCCTTAGAATTTTAAAAATGTTTGAGAAACTTTATACTTTTTCAACATTTTAAACTTTTTCCAACTTCATCTAAAAAACAAGCACTCAAGTTACCATAGCAAGTGTTTCTGGTGAACGTTTCCTACTGTCTTCTCCCAAAAACATGCTATTGAAATTTCTCCTACTAAAACATTAAGGGCTGATATATCAGGTCAGAAATAAAATACCATCTGTGTCCTAGTACAAGCAATACTGCCTCGATCTTCTTTGTTTTCATTTCTCTCACAAATACTTGGTTGACTCAGTTTTCAAGATTTCAAAGTTCAACAACAACAGCTGGCAAAAAGAAGATCCTTCACCAGAGCTCCTTCAACCTGGACAATTCACTCAAGCCAGTTCTGTTTGTTCAAGTCTGATAATATGCTTTTACAGTCCCCCATTGAAACAGACTCAGCTACACAAATAATTGAAGTTCCCTCTGTATCAGCAGATGTTCAGCACTGCTTTATTTGCAGTAAGAGACTAGGTTCTTTGGATTACATTTGAAACTAGATGGACACAGGAAATGAGCTTACTTGAAGTCTTGGCCAAGGTATCCCATGCTGGGAAACGAGCTGCCATAAAGAGAAGCACACCAGCATTTCTTGGTATTTTTCCTGGAGGCAACAACATTCCTCCCTCTATCTCTCTGTAAGTTCTGGGGTATTATTTGCAACAGTAACACTGACTACTTGACATCTGCATGTGCAGATACACTTCTAGAATTGTCATTGCTCAAGAATTAAAGTCTGAGCACCAGAGTTACAGAGTGAAATGCTGTCTTGCAAGCAGACATAAGCTTAAATCCAGAAATCCTGGATATGTCTTAAAGCTGAGCTGCTTTTCCGCTGACTTCTAAGATTTACATTCCAATGTTCAATATTTTATTTCTCTCCTCTTACACTCATGCTCCTGCTT